GTGTGTGTGTGTGTGTGTATGTGCGTGTGTCGTATATATATATATATATATATATATAGTATATACATATATATAACTTGAATACTATCCGTTGAGAATACGTGCAACATAATACAAGAGAGAAAACGTTCGAATAAATACTATTAACACCTCCCGTTTATCTCTCTATCGTATATCCCGCTACGCTTAAACATTCCGCCAACGAAAAGGCTTCTTGAGGCAGGTACAGCAGCTGAACATTTATAGTAGAAACCTTCATAAACTATTATATTCAACCAACTGTGGCTGTATGTGTTTTTGCGAGTGTATTAGCATTGGTTAAAAGTGATCTTATACACATTTAGAGTTAGACGATAAATACACCTTTCCTGAGTATTTCCTGGCCAATAATATATAAGGATGTTTGATGACATGATATATCGCTTCATCTCTACCCGTTGCAGGGAAACTAGGTGATGTATTCATGCGAGTAAGTCAGAATACGTACAAAAAGGTGAAAAGTGAACTTCGTAAAAAACACACGATTTCTGAAAGTTTTTCCGGTCTTTGTCATGTTACACGCTTCAATACCATATTATCCCTACCGTTGTCAACTACAATGAATGCAGACTAGGTTGTCATTCCCGAACATACATACGCATATCCTTAAAACGCTTCGAAAGTGAACCCAGACACGCATAGACGTTTACTAAGTAGTTCCTGGTATGTATAATGTGTTGAGCGGCTATCAGGACAAAGCTGTAACACTTAATCTCTGTCACATACAGTGAACACAAACTAGTGTATCAGTCAAAACCTCACATACCTCGTTGCGCTGTAGGTAAAAAAAATAATGCCAGAATTCCTACAGCTAAAATAGTAGACGCCAGCTTGTCCGCTTGTTAATCTGGCAAAGAATAAAGCAAAGAAGCACGATATAGTTCGTATACTTACAATTTGCCGGCAGTTTATAGAGAACTGTGTGGAATACATGCAGTTTTTTTTAGCTACTTTTGTGTATGCCCATGACAGTGATTCTTTAATCCAAGCAGCGTTTGCTAATAGTTCGGAATTAACCTCTAGAGTACTGATTTACGAGCTTGTTGAAGCCTGTGGAATTTACGTGAGGTATAACGAATATCAATATTTACTTCAGAAAGCATTATCGGTATACATAGTACAGTATACTTAGCAGTAGCCTCTGCAGTGATGACTGAATGTGTGCAGCCACACGAAAGTACAACCTAAAAAATAAATATATATATTCTTATTTGAATATAATTAAAATAGATAGCTTTGTTGGGCTTGTTGGTGAGGAGGAATTCGAAATGAGCAGCTAGACACAAAATATTAGCTATTTGTGGCCAGCAATTTGGCGCGCGCATATTTGTATTGATTTGATTGCGTGAACGGAAAAAAGCTTTTTGGTCGCGCAGAACTTTGCAAGTTTATTTTATTTGTAATGTATAGTCAATATGCAAGCCTGTCGCGGGCAGTACAGCCTGCAGGCCTAGATTTTCAGACCATTTTCCTTTCTGTAGTAGTGCCCTACAGTACTGCACTCATTTTCAGACCATTTTCCTTTCTGTAGTAGTGCCCTACAGTACTGCACTCATTTTCAGACCATTTTCCTTTCTGTAGTAATGTAGTTGCTCGTTACATCATGGTGGGTCAAACCCTATGCCAGTACGTATGCAATTATGTGGAGATTGGTTAAGACTTAACTGACGTACGCGTAAGCGTCGGACTTGGCGGTCGCATGCGTGAGCGTCAGACTTAGTGGTCGCGATTTCAAGTCGGATAAGGCGTCAGACATATGCGTCAAACTTAGTGGTCGCAAGACTAAATGTCAGACTTAATGGTCGCAGCCTTCGTCAGACTTATGGATCGCAGGTATAAGCGTCAGCTGGGCGTCTGACATAAAAATCGCAAGGTTTAACGTCAGACATGAGACGAGTCGTAAGGTTGAGCGTCAGACTTAATGGTCGCATGCATAAGCGTCAGATGTGTAGTGGTCGCAATTTTAAGTCGCAAGGATAACGCGTCAGACGTATACGTTAGACATAGTAGTCGCAAGACCTAAAGTCAGACTATAATAGTGGTCGCAGTCTTAACTAATCTCATAATGCGTATCAGATGATTTTTCGTACAAATTGAAGTACTCATCACCTATTTATTTACGTAACTTTCAAAACTTCCGCAACCGAACGCTGTGCGTAACGATTTAGCAAGTCAGCAAATGCTGGATCTTAATATAAAAGGCAACTGAGTCCATGCTAAAAACGTAGCTGACAATGGTAACTCACACTGCTGCTGTGTTGAATTAGAATCGGGTATTCACCCCCTCCTTGTTATAGCTACCCTGAAGTTGAGCACAATTCAGCACATTTGCTGTTGGCTCGTGCTTCCACCTTGTTGCCATCATCCCACACTATATTAAACTTATCAAGAAGGCTGTAGTTCGGTAATAAGTAAAGACTTAAAGTATGTCATTCACATATCTGTACATAATAGTGATATGAATCCTGCATGATGACCTTCTGAGACAGTTGGAGTATACCTACCTCTGGGGCTGGGAGCTGCGTGATTGCCGACTTTATTGTACACTGAAAGCGTTAATAATTGAACAATCCCTAAGATCCTAAATACTCCCTATTTCTTCACCACGAAGGCAGATAATTTGGTCTGCAACGTGTAGGGCAGGCTAAAGCATAGAGGGCCCCTTCTTATAAATTATCATGACCCTGTACTTTTACTACTAGAGAAAAGTATAAATATCACAACTACTGACCGAGAGATAGAAGTGAATATTCAAAATATGTTTATTCATATTACCATCTCTAGTAGAATGAAAAGTAAAATATGAGGTAGAACGAACGAGTCCGTTGGACATTTATTATAACGTTTTCAGTCCCCAAGCCGCATTGACGTGTCCCACTCGGCACTGTCAGCAGTCCCATGCTCCTAGGCCCAGCCGTGATATATTAGCCGTGTGATTTATTTCAGACTTCAGATTTCAGAGACTTTCCGCCCCAGTGCTGCCGGGCAAGGAGCGCAATCATAACGCCATAACCCAAAAACCCTGTACCCGGGATTGTCTGTTTATTTTATGCATTTAAAATTTTTTTTGTTACGGATGAAGTTTAATATGTGAAATATAAATATAAACGAGACTTCAAATCGACAAGGCACATTCCCAGACAAAAAAAACTAATACACCAGTTAATCTTCACAGGCTAAACATGAACAGGATCAATGTCTAAGCTTTAGTGCAACCAGATATGTGAACAATATTCTTTTTCTGACAAACTGAAATGTCCTCTCAACGTCACTCAGCCTCATCTATAGATCCGTCGACTTCATTCACAGAGGTATATCAACTAAACATATCCTTATTAAACTCACAGGATTGGAATTTCAGTACGCACACTAATCTATAGGATGAGCTATTTAGTACCCATTTCCTTGCATGCAGTAGAATTAATCGAACTTAACCACACAGTCGTATGTACTTATCGATGACTGTCGGTCTATGTGATATATGAATGACATGCTCCGATTACACACACACACACAT